ACATTTAAAGAAATATATTGGAAAAAACTTTTAGGATCACTTCGGATCACTAAATTTACCGTTTTAGAAGGAAAGTGTAACCATGTTTCAAAATGTGCGTACCAATACGTAAATCACTAGGGTATTAGTGTTTTCTTGTAACATAGGGATAGACCATAGCACTACGCCGACTTTCTTCTTATTGAACAAGAGCATAAGCCTCGCGTAAAGTGGGAAATGGAGAGAGACCCAATACTTGAATGCAAATCTGATCATACTCCAAATTAAGGGCAACAAGGAAGTCATACACACGCTCCTTTTTCCATGGTTTGCTGAAATAAAGTTGTATGCTTAGAACAAAAAGCCTAGAAACTCTGATAATAATTTAGTTCCTGCCACAAGCTACTTAATTCAGCATAGTACACCGCGAGTGAGCGATCTTTCTGATCCAAGCCTCGAAATTTTCCTCAACTCATATGCCTGTGCGTCATTACCATGCTGAGAATACATTTAGGAAGCAGCGGTCCAAATCTTATAAGTAGTATCCAGAGAAGAAAAGACCTACTAATTGTAGGCTGCATAGAGTTAAGTCATAACCAAGGCATTCTCAGACACCCATTGAGTATGCAAAGGATCATCATAGGTAGGCTAAGAAAGATCACTGGTAATATAACTAGTCATCTGGCCAGCAACAATAGCAAGACTACAAGAGCGAGACCAAATCAGGTAGTTGGTGCCATCAAGTTTCACAGGACTGATTTGAAGAGATGGGCTATCGTTAAGAGTCACAACATGATGCTGCCCATAGTCTGCATTGACCAAAGGATCCTTATTCTCACCTCAGCCATTGAAATTAAAACCACACAACAGGGACAACCCAAACAAATAGAAGCAAGTCTACAAAAACAAACGCAGGACCAGTATGTTACCTGTAAAGCCCAAAAAACAAAGCTAGGCCTAAGAAAACACTGCTGGGACAACACTTATATGAGCCAAATCAGTCATTCAAGGAGAGAAGTCCCACAAAAACTGCAAAACACGGATTGCAAAGGCTCTGATACCATGTCAGATATATAGATGAAGAAGAAGAAGAGAGAGAGAGAGAGAGAGAGAGAGAGAGAGAAGATTTTATTGATATGTAGAATTGTGTTTTACAATGAGATGAAGTAGCTTATTTATAAGCCAAAGTAGATCAGGGCTTATGTGATGGATTACATCATAAAATAGGGTTGATGTCATAGATAACATTAGGATAGGGATGATGTCATGGATGACATCATAGAATAGGGCTGATGTCATGGATGACAATAGAATATGGCTGATGTCATGGTGTGTTATGGATGGCATAGACACTAACACTTAACAGTTACCAGAAAATGGAAATATGTTAATGGATTTGTTTATATTTTTCTTTGGGAAAAAATGTGAAGTATCATTAAGCAAACAAAAGTGTACTACAAAGATCTCTTTTGACTTGACACCCTAAGTGGTAGTAATCCCTACAGTTTATTCTAGGACATCTTAGTCATATATGTAGAAGGAAAGTAGTTTATATCACCCAAGTTTTCCTCCTTACCACCCCAAGTGTCTGCAAAACATAATTTTCAATATATTTTACAGTAGATTAGGTCTTTGGAGCACATAGGCATGGAGACAAAAGGTGATGAGGTGCCTGCATATCCTCAACCTGATCTGGACATAGAGCTCGTCTTGCCTCAAACACCAACAAGGTATGCAGCACCAGCAGTCCGGCTGGCAGAGTCAACAACTAGGTACATTTTAATCAGAGTTATCACTCAGGAATTCCTTCACTTACATTGCTACCATTGCTTAGAAACATAGACTAAATTGGGTGTTAGTTTTTTTTAGTTCTTTTTTTATTTGTCCTGTTCGATGTTGTGATGCAAAGCTTGAGTCTTTGGAAGCTGACATAGGCATGGAGACAGAAGGTGATGGGGTGCTTGCATATCTTCAACCTGATCTGGAAGCAGAGCTTGTCTTGCCTCTGGCACCAACAGGGCATGCAGCACCAGCAGTCTAGCTAGCAGAGTCAACAACCAGGTATTTTTTATTCTCAATTGTCACTCAAGAATTCCTTCTTTTACATTGCTACAATTTCTTGCAAATGGATATTGTAATTACTGAGTAACTGATCAAAATTATTCTGTTGACCCGGCTTCCACATGTTCCAACTAGTATGGTGTTAAAATTGTATGATTCATGATTCGTTTCATACAATTTAATTTGAGTTTCAACTAAAATGATTTGAATTGTGCTATTGAATTGAGAATTGAGTGAATCGTACAATTCAATTTGCAATTCACTATGATTTACTGCAATTCATTTATGTTTTTGTTTACATAATGTATTGAAATGACGCCCTTTTCAGTTACTCTATGAAGAAACAAAAATAGTGCAATTGGTTATATATTGCTATACATGGACCTCAGGCTGCTCAAATTCAGCGCAACAAGATGGTAATTTTTATTTTAATTTTCTACCCCTCTATATAATGTATATACCTTTTTACTCACAAGGATCTTGTGTTTATAGAAAGAGCAAGATTTGGAATAATGCTCTAATTGTGTTTATTTTCATACCAATTATCTCTCAAACATCCATTTTTTATATTCACCTTTACCTTTTTATTTCATTTTTTCACAATTCCTCAACCTATACATTACAACCAAATAAAAAGTCCTACTTGATCTTGGGAGTGCTATGGTTTAGAGGTGGACATGATGGATAGGGGTGATAGTGTGATAATTTTAATTCTCAGTATTTGATATTCCATTCATAGAACTATTTATTTATTCTTTTAAATTAGCGTTTTTCAAAAAAAATAGTATGTGAGATATTTTGCCTTTGATTTACATTATTCTATGCGCATATATTGAAAGTAATTTTTACACCATATTTTGAGTGATTTATTTGTTGAGTGCAATAATTAGTGAGATTGGAGTTGAAGCATGTTTCGGAAAGAGATTTGGGTTATATTTCACTTTGAGGCCAAGGTTGTGTTTGTCATAAGATATCTTTACTTGCTGCTAGTGTGTTGAACTTGAATTGATTATCTTGTTAAGGTTCTTTAACTTTACCATGAGAACGAAAGAAATCCTTTTGAGTAAAGAAATTTTTGGATGTTTGTGGGTAACATCTCTGGAACTCATCCATGAGGGGTAACCTAGGGGATTAAAGGCCTGATTGCATGTGCTATAAATGCAACCGCGATTTCTTGCGAAAGTGGTTTAGAATAGTTGTTTTTATTTTAATTTTTTGTTTTATTTAGCCTTTAAGAATGAGAATTACTAAGTAATTGTAGCATAACGATATTAGTTTAACTTAAGCAATTCATTTAAGGTTTTAAAAAGATGAATTTGAATTCCATTTGATTTTCTTCCTATTTCTCTTTCTTTTTTATAACTTTCTCTTCTAGCTCTGAAAAAGAAAGTTTCTCTCTAACTCCTTCTGTCTTTCTCTATCCATCTCCCTTTTGTTCTAGTAACTAATTAGCTTTGGTAACTAATTATTTCATTAGCTTAGGTGGCAAAGCTTAACTCATACTAATCTTGCTTGGCCTTTAAGAAAGAGAACTTACTGAGTAATTGTAGATTAATGATATTAGTTTAATAGCACCTCATTTGAGGTTTTCTAAATCACCTCAGTGTTCAATTCCCAAGTCCAAGAGGATGAATTTGAAATCCCTTTGATTTTCTTCAAATTTCTCTTTCTTTTCTCTAACTTTATATTCGAATCTCCTTAATTTGACTAACCAAGTAGCCCTTGATAGAGCCGAATGGGGAAGAAGAATTCATGTAGTCAACCCTATTTGATGGGGACTTAAGCCTTGGCTTGGTTTATGTTGTGCTACACCACTTTTTTCCCTATTACCTATATTTTCTTTTAATTCATCAGTGAATTTGGTAATTGCAACTGCTATGCATGTTAGTGAGGTTACATAAGGAAAGAAAGCCATATAGGATGCCAATGGTGTGGTGTGGCATTTGTTGTATATGCATAAATGGAATGTTCATTAAGACTTGCCTAGCCATCATTTCTACTAAAATTATGGTCTTTGACCTGTCGATAAAAGTATTTCTATTGTCCATATTTTCTTTGTTATTGACTTGTATCTTTTAGCACCTAATGTGACTACTTACAGCGGACGGTGCAAGTTGAACCAAAGTTCCATGATGATGCTAGCAACTTAGAGCAATTGGTTCCCTTTGAAGAGTGTATTGAGTTGCATTCTAGTGGAAAGGAATTTGTGAAAGCTCCTGAGTATCTCCTTCTCACTCATAACGGTCGCAGCTTCAAGTGAGTCAACATCAACTTGACTAATCTTCTACGTAAGCACTCATATACTGTTACGGTGATGGTTGGAAGTGGAAATGCTAGAAGATAGGCCGTACCATGTGTTGATGTCGAGTTTGGGAAATGTCAATAATTCGTAAGGTTAACGGGAGACTCGTGACGCATGCTTGTATTTGTTATTTTTGTAATCTTACTTTCAAATGTCACTTAAGCATTGTCTGAAAAATGATATTTTAATAACAATAGATGCCATTGTGTGCATACCTATGCACTCATGTGTGCCTTAAAGAGGGATATGCTATCAAGCTCGTGAAAAGACAGCCCACAATTTGGTTAGGCTGAATCAGGCACTGAGGGCCACATCTTGGATTGTTTGGTCTAAATTCTCAGGATTGGTGGGCCTTGCCATGAGGCTGCAATACACCTTCATGTCCCTGTGTTTGAGAACATTGGCTTGGATGATTCTTTGGGGTATGTTCTCTCCAATGAGAGCCAAAGCCATTGTAGTGTGATGAAGGAGTTTCTTCAAATTGTTCATGGCAATTGGCTACCATTATACTGTGATGACTCATCAATGTTTGGATATTTCTTCTTATTTTATTACTGCTATATTATTATTATTGATATTATTTCTGTACCAAACATTATTTGTTATCACCTGCTGATGTTAGTGAATATTAACAAATTATTTCCCCTTCTTTTTCAGCATAGTTATAGATCTTACCAATCTGAGTGATGGTTTACACTATTATGAACTGTGTGGGATTGATTGCAAAGCCCCATGGCGTGGTCCCGTTTTCAGAATCCCTGTTACTATAACAAAGGCGATGGCTGTGAAAAATCAACCTGCACTACTTTCATTTTCAGGGATGACATTTCTTCCAGGTGATTATTGTGGTGTCAATTTGTAAATTAATATTAATTATTCTAGCAATCATTTATCCTCCATGACAACTTGCACTTCTCAACAACTTAACATTGTTCTTGCATTCTATGTCATGGTCGTGCTAAAATGTCTTGTATGCAAAAATACTTATTGAAGGTAATCAACTTGTAAGTAATCTGTTTGTGTGAATCATATTGTTTTGTTAGCCCAAATTACACTGGAAAGTCAATATGATGTCTGGGAAGTTGAAAAACTGATATGGGCCATGGTATAAATTCAAATGTCAATGAAAAGCAAGATGGAATGTTAATGAATGCTATGTCAAACACAAATTAATGATTGTATTTCCCTTGAACGGCAATTGCTTCGTCTGATGTAATTGAACTCTCTTTTTTTGGCTTGTTTATTTTGTTTGATAAATCCAATTATGATATAGAAAGTGATGAAGATGAAATCTACAATTAGTGTTTCAGAGATTGAATATCTAATGTTTGTGTGTTATATTTTTTATATGCTGATTATTTATTTATTTGAGTTATTCATTGTCGAATTGAACTAGCTGCTTAGACTATGGTCAACCAATTGGCACCCTTGTTTGTCACCAGCACTTCTCTGATTGGAAAATTATATTTGAGCAAGATTTAGTTAAGTGTTTCACATGGAGACAAACCTAGTGGACCAGAAATCCTTTGGTGGTTGTTTATGGTTTTCTATAAAAAGAAGCTCTTTCCAAGTGTCACATTTGTAGGTAATGAGACTTTCTTCAGAGAATTTAACAAAAATTGTCAGTATGTTGGATATGGAATCAAATTGATTGAATTCTTTGTAGAGGTTCATATTAGATTCAATTTATTTATTTATTTTATTAGTTGTTATTTGAAGGTTCTCAATTGTGAATACTTGAACGGCTTGCAGATCGAATTCATCACAGTTTCAAATTTTCTTTTGTCAATGGTCATGTATTCTCAAGTAGTATTATATAATTGAGAATACATGACAGCTTTATGAAGGATTGCAGTGCCCAATAAAAACAAATCACCTGAAAATCATTTTAGGTTAGGAGTTTTTCTTATTTTTTACGTTTTTTTTCCTTGCCTTCATTCTACCCTCAATATGTACAATTGTAGTAGAGAAGGTGCCAAGGGGGCACCTCCATCATACAAAAGCAAAGTGAGAGATGAAAAAAACCACAACAATAAAATAAAACCAACAGAAAAACTCCCAGCAGCACCCCTAGTACACAATGCATAGATGCTTCGCATTACTGCTTTCGCCACAATACCCAGTGGAATCCTCTCTCTCCTGTCCTTCATATTTAATTAAGCAAGCCTTTTACATTTCCCATGTTTCCTAGAAGAAGAGAGTCGCCTCCCTCTTTCTTCTTTCCTTTCAAGTTTCCTACCACCATCTTTTGTCAGTTTCCTCAAATAATTGTTCTGCTTCTGAGACAAAACCTTTGTCAGAAGCCCCCAGAAAACCACTGAAATTTCTCATATTTTGTTTCATCCATTCGGACCACACCTTTTCTGTATCACCAAAGAGATCTAAAAAAAATTAAAAAATCCAATGAATCCTTGTAAACATCACCCTGTTCTACTCCACTTAGAGGTAGCACATCCATAGGAGGGCAGAAAACCGAAGATGACACCTTCAAATTCACCGTACCACCATCACCTATGGTACCCCAAACCAGCTAAACCTTCTTAACTTCCCCTTCCGCAACTCCAGAAAATTTTGACCAGTACCCATCCTCAAGTAATCAGAAAGTACCATCCTCGGAAAGACTCCTATGAGTTTGCTTGCTCCTAGCATCCCAAAAGTCCGCTGCTTCTAACTCCAATTGCCTTGACAAACTGCTCACATTGTTACCTTTTACTAATACTGCTCATATAGTTTTACCTTCCTGAACCGCAAACTTATCCACCTCTGTATCTGACTGCCTTCATGCCTCTACTCCTTCTTTTGTTGCTCCCTCCTCATTACCCCCCGAGACCTTGTGAGCCGCTCCTTCTAATTGAAGTAACCACCAACCCAACACCCTCTCCCGCCTTGGAAAGACTCCTATGAGTTTGCTTACTCCTAGCATCCCAAAAGTCCCCTGCTTTTAACTCCAATTTCCTTGACAGGCTGCTCACATTCTTACCTTTTACTAATACTGCTCACATAGTTTTACCTTACTAAACCTCAAACTTATCCACCTCTGTTTCTGACTGCCTCCATGCCTCTACTCCTCCTTTTGTTGCTCCCTCCTCATTCCCCCGAGACCTTGTTGAGTCGTTCCCTCCAATTGAAGTAACCACCAACCCAATATCCTCTCTCGCTTGAAAGACTCCACCACCCACATCCCTTTGTTCCAAACAAGAGGGAGAGGATGAGGAGAGAATAGAAAGATTGGGCTTTTTTGGTAGCCCATATTTACTCATAGTCCTTGCCTTTCAACTTTCGCCAGCCAAAATCTTTAGAAGTAGTTTGCAACCCAGGCAAGCATCCATTGGGCCATAAAAAATGAAGTTGATCATCTTTAGTTGCTTCTCAAATATTTTCTGGTTTCTTTGGGTTTTCTGTGAATCACTCCTTGGACTGAATGTCATTATTTATTTTGTTCTATTTATCATTATTATTTTTGAAGCTTTTTTTATTTGCCATCTCATTTGCCTCTTTCATAGTGTCTTTTTACTCTACGACTAGTATCATTGCTATTCTTACTAACTAATTCCATGCGCATGCTCTCTCTCTCTCTCTCTCTCTCTCTCTTCATGCTCTGAGAATGCTAATCTGCTATGGTTTATTATATAGATGATACAACTTTGGTGTGCCTAGCATTTGCATGTTTCTATCAATTGGATACCTTTGTTATTAAACTTTGCCTTATTAAATTTAACGTCTTTAATAAAAATGGGGTTCTGCTAGTGACAACCTTAAGAGCTCTCAATAAGAAGAGCCAAATGCCAAAATATTTATAATCTCAATACATTTTTCACATATTCCAAAATACGTTCACAAATTTTACACATTTTTTGAGCCCGAAGGGCTGTTTTTAGCATTTGCGAAAAAATAAGCATGTGGGGAATTTTAATCCATAATCACTTTTACATTATCACATTAGACATGGATTAAGGTGCATATCTATGTAACAATTGTTTTTTTTGACAATCATCCTCTTATTCATAAAACGTGAGATTGTATATATTTTTGTAAAAATTAAAAATCTATGTGGTGTCTCTCTGAATTTTGTTTTCAGTTTGCACTAGCGACTAGGTAGTTACCATTTGTGTGTGTGTGTGCACAGATACAGCTTATAAGCATGTTCTGATATGCTGTGAGTGAAGGATATAATCATTCTCTTTCCTTAATTAATTAATTAATTTATTTATTTTGGGTTTGCTTCCTTCTGAATGTATTGCTTAGGCCATATTGAAAGGAAATATATCAAGGTACCAATTGGTGCTTCTTGGGTTGAGGCTACCATGCGGACATCAGGGTTTGATACTGCTAGAAGATTTTTCGTTGACACTGTTCAGGTATAATATGCAATCAAAGCTTTTGTTACATTGTCTAGACCTTCTTTGACATATACCTACAATATACAGATCAGTCCGTTGCAAAGGCCTATGAAGTGGGAAAGTGTCATTACATTCTCGTCTCCTTCTACCAAAAGCTTTGCATTTCCTATGGAGGGTGGTCGGACAATGGAATTGGCGATAGCTCAATTTTGGTCAAGTGGCATTGGAAGTCATGAAGCCACTGTTGTAGAGTTTGAGGTAACATCTTTTGTATTAGATATCTGAAAATGTTGTGTGACTGGATGTTGTTATATTACTTACATTTCTGAATTGTTAGAATTGTGTAAATTTATCATGTTTTTATGACAGTGGAGGGTATGGGCTTAGCATCATTACTACTAGATGTAAATTTTCTTATGTTTTTTATGTTATTATTACTATTTATTTATTTATTGGAAAAAAAACTTGTTGTGCAACATTGTCTTGAGTTTGAATTTGACTTTGGAGGTAACAATTCAGATGTTCCAATAACTCTTTGGGGACGCAGTCACATGTTATAGTATTCGCTATTCAGAAAATTATACTCAGATAATTGAGTTCTAATGTGCATTCTGCACTCATATTTTTGGTGTGTCAGCAGGTTAGCTTTGTGGGGGTACTGTTACATATAAGCATTTGTTTTCTGTTAAAATGGCCCTAATAGAAAGTTTAGCCTTGCTGATTTCCCTTGAGTAAAACTTTATTGTCGAAAACAGGGATCTAGAGAACCAGCAAATTATTGAACAAACTACAAATTATAAACTTGCAGCTTGACGACAATACCTAAGGACTTAGGTGTAACAATGGCAATCACGCAAACAGTGAAATGCAAAATTTCATAATATTTTTACTTAGTAATTTTTATAAGCATTTCGTTTTACCTTGTTTAAAATTAGGGGAAAAAATAAAAAATAAAATAAAATAAAAGATAAAGAAAAAATCTCTTCCTTGAAAATTTGCTTAATATTTTTTATGCAGCAACAACTACAAGAGGCATACATCCCATAAATTTAATTTCTGTTTTTGTGTGGATCTTTATAACTAGCTTAGTAGGGAGAGTTTTATGACATTGGCAGCAGCCAGTTATTTTTTGTATGAACCCTTCTATTTTTATGATTTGCTTCACCAAAGTAGTGGTCGTCAATTTTATATTCTCTTTTTTAAATATGAGTCAATTTGATAGCGGGTACAGAAGTAAAAGCGTTGCCCTGGCATTGTCACATATATATATATATATATATTTTGTGTCTATAATGCCTGGATTTTCTGTGAGTGCCAATTAATAGTTTCTCAATGCCGAGGACCCATACTTCGGCTTTCAATGGATCTAGTCCCCCGTGGAACTGTGGTGGTTTCATTTTCTTAAATTCTTTGGTAAGTGCTATTATCCGATCGTCATTCTGATTATCTGGCACGGGTGGCACCAGAGGTGGAGGTGGAGGTGGAGGATGTGGTTGCTGCCACTGTTATTGCCATTCCTGTTATTGCCTCAATGTTTCTGCCATTTCCTAAATCAGTCTCTCCATTCTATCTATTCTGGCAGTAGAGGACTCTTCTATCTCATCACCTCTTGTTCTCACCTTCTAATTAAACTTACATTATACTTTGTACAAAAGATTCACAGGTATGCATATATTAAAGAGCATACATATTCAAATAATTTGCAATGCAAGCAAATCACAAACTTATAACACATAGTTGTTCACATTGAAACATTTAGATGCATTCTCGATGCTATCAAATCCATACTTATCACATGAATGCATCCTAGATCTTTCTAGACGCTTATTGCTCTTTTGGACAAGTGTGTGAGTTATTAACTCGTGCTTTGATACCACTCTGTCATGACCCGAACCCACCCCCGTGGGTTGAGGACATAACCGGCAGTAATCATGAGATTACCTACGGTCTCAAACCAAACCAAACGTATGTTAACAGAGTTAATGGGGGGCCAAACGGAAGTAGTTTAAAACTTTGTCCATAGAGCTGTGCTTACATGGCACATCATAACAAACCATACATATGCATATTAATAACGCACAACAAAATACGAACTACACAAGGTTCTGTACATACAGGATCATATAAGTCTAAGTCAACCCAAGAAAACTATGTACAACATATTCAAAGACTTCGCTCACATGACAAAATAAACAGAATGACAAAAAGGGTTCAACCATTCAGATCAAACTGGCCTTTGGTCCATTCATTTGGCATAGCCACATTGTCCACCAATCGAATCAACGAACTTATAAAACTTACATAGAAGTAAGTAATTTGGACAACAACATATTTCAGATATCTTTGTTAAGATATTACTCACAGTGATCGGTTGGTTGGTTTGCCCTGGAACTCAACCCTACACATTCCATGAGCACAAAAGGGTCACAAACAATTTAATCCGTACTAAATTCACATTTTCCTCTTTAGGCTTCATTCTTATCTCTTTAACTCAATTACAATGCTCAATGCATGCCTAAGAGTACTTAGAAGTGAAAGAGGACGAAAAACGAAACTCAGAATGCCTTTTCAAAATTTCAGAAGACAGGGTCCCCGCTTGAGCGTGGACTTCCCCGTTCGAGCGGACCCATGAGGTCTACAAAAGTGCTGGACGCATCAAAATTATGCTCGAGCGTGAAGTCTGGCGCTCGAGCTAAAGGTCTGTCTACATAGCTCCCCGCTCGAGCATGAATTTCCCTGCTCGAGCGGACATCCAAATCTACAAAAATACTGGGAGCACGAAATTCACGCTCGAGCGGACATCAAATTTTTTAGGTTTTCCAGAACATGTTCTTGAGCTCCAATTCAACATTCAATGGTTCTAGATGCATGCTTTTGGCTCAAACTTCACATAATCATATACTAACATGGTACCAACACCAAATTACAACACAATGGAGCTCAATTTCACAAATTAATCACATGCATGTCCCAATCTACACCAAATTCACTTTCAACATAACAATTTCATGCATTCAGGCTCATACTTCTTATGAATGGTACATGCATGTGAGATATAACTTCCATTTCAACTCAAATTGTACAAATGATGGTTGTAGACGTCCCCGAACGCCCCGGGAGGGTGAGTCCCGTTCTGTTCATTTGTGGGGTCACTACAGCTCGGACTCTCAAATTGTCACGGTTCTTAGTCTGAACCAAAGAGTCCAAATCCGGCAAATCGTTTTGAGAAACAGATTTGTTTTGAAAAGAAGTGCCAAACATGGATTGCTTTGCCAGATACAGAGTTGCCACCTAAATATTTTTTATGGGGGAATTTAGGAAACCCTGACTCGGTGTCGAAGGCCACATGTCCGTCATCACCAGAGTTGCCTCAGCTCGGGAGCTAGGGTACGATTGGGGAAGGTCAGCTATGAGCACCCCCTCTCGCCCGATCCAAAGATCGGCCTCTACTAACCGTGATATCTGTTTTTGAAAATGTTATGTGTTCTTATTCCATTTATTAGCCTAGAATTACTATGTTATGCGTACAGCAAACAAGTATAGACTAGATTGCCTAATTTGGAAACAAGCATTGCATATCCGTTTTGTTTCGAAAAATGTTTTGAAATTTGCTACTCGTAAGTAGGCTAAAACACGGATTTTAATGAGTTTTTCCAATTCAAACAATCCACCCTTCACCCACAGGCATTCAAACAATTTATCACATAAGCATTTAGTCGCATGGCAAGCATACTGTCATGGCAACATTCACACGCATGCGGGATGCTAAAGCATAACTACTTACATCGTACTCCGTGCCAAAACAGTAAACTAGTTAGCAAATATGCATGTTCTAGTTCATGTTACAATGAATAATGCATCGCATGCAAAAGTGTAATTAGAGTAGGCTCGATTAATCTAAATATGGCATATGAGATGCAACCAATTGATTCACGTATTCAATTTGGAATTTGAAATACGAATGCAGTTAGTATGATGTACCGAGCCTAATGCGTGTAATACAAATGCATGAATGCACGCATGCATAGCATAAGGTATGCTAATTTCAAAAAATGCCCTATACCATCATAAGCAAGTAAATAAAAGGGAAGAAAGAAATGGGGATTGGAAGACATACACACACTCACCCACACTTATTACATCATTGCCCTCACTCGGAGGGGCCAAATAAATATTACAGTCCGAATGATAAGCAAATAAAATTATTACAGAATTTCTAATTAATTAATAGAAAGAATGCAACAGAAAGGAGGGGATGACCGCAGCCTCTGCCTCGGGATGTGCGAATGATGCATGCTCGAAACCCGGCTCGCCTGGAAAACCCGTACCACATCACTGCCACCTCTGTTTATACTGCCCTGCTTCTCTGAAAATTCCCAAAGTCCCAGAACAGGTTCCTTGCATGCTGCAGAGTACCACCGGCTAAGGGAAATTACCACCGGCCGTGCACAATTCCCACCGGCCGCTTTTGGATCTATCGGCTGTAAACAGATTGCCGGTCGGCACTAAATTCTGCCGGTCGGCAGAAACTTCCTGCAGAAGACAGTTTTGACAGCAAACAGAGGACAGACAGTATGGCATGGGATTTCAGGCATATGTAAGCATGGTCATGCTTCCTATCATGCTTTAAACTCAAGGAAGCATGGCCCTCGATCCTCGAGCCATCAATGGTGCATGATAGCCCAAGGGATCAAATTTGCCACTTGATATAAAGATGCAATGCAACAAACAAAATGAGAACCAAAGCCTTATCAAATCGGAGTCAAAGGCCTCGGTGACCGAGAATCAAGGCACATTACATCACTTGAAGTATGAATGTCCCTTGTGTCACGACCCCAAACCGCCCCTAGTAGTTTGGTGCCGTGATGGCCAGTAATCCGTAATTACCGAAGGCCAACTTTCAAAAATTTAACACAATCAGAGTATGATAATCGGGGCTAACAAATGCGGAAGCAATAATCTAAAATACGAGCAGTCCATAAGAGCTGTGCATAGATTAAATGCAATGTCATTCATCTTTACAACTTGAATACAGCCAAGCAAAATACATGTTACATCTTGATCAAAACGCTTCTCGAGCCGACGTATACAAAATACAATAAAATACAAGTCAAGAAGCATGATTTTCAAGATTTGCCAACATGCAATGAAGGGCATTGCCGACGTAAATACAAAAGCGAAGCCGACATAAGCACGAATCCAAAACAAGCATCCAAAACGATCTAGGCGTCGCCGCCGTCTTGCTCAACACCTACATATATATAGAGGGGTGAGTACAAACTCAGTGAATGGTACTAATA